AACATTCATTTTCCATTCAACAGCTCATACACATATTTTTTCATGACATTAATTGCAATCCACGTAATGAAATACCTCTTTTTCCATTTCCTTCTTGTGGCTCCCTCTCCCCTGTGTCCTTTCTTATGCATTCTTGCCCTCTGAGTTATCTCAGTGTGCAAATGCAGCCCTTCTCTCCAGTAGTTGATTGTTCTAAGGAATACACATACCTGGTGCAAATTTTCACCATTTTGACCTCTTTGTTGTTTGACTGGAAGCCACAAAAGTGAGTTTAATTCTAGGTACGAAGGGTGATTGGAGGCCATAGTTTTAGCAGTTTCACTAGTTACTTTCAGACCAGTAAGCCTGAGTGGTTGACAGGGGTAGCTGAGCACTATATAGCTTTTCTGGTCTCAGAGCCATGTCGGTTGAGGATTGCATGGTCCACTTAGGCCTTGGCCTAATTGTTTCCATTAATATTTTGTTTTCTTCATTTTTTTTGCTCTGGATGAGGAGAGACCAATTGTTGCCTCTTAGATGGCTACATACAACTTTTGAAGATCCCAATCTCTACTCACCGAAGTAGGATGTATAAAATGTTTTTGTACAGTATATTATATCAATTGAGCTAGATGTGCTCCTTGACTGTGGTCCCAAGCCTGAGGGCCAAACAACTCACTTCCTCAAAGTGTTTTGCTGTGGCTAAGAAATGATCATAACTTAGCCCATTGTTAGTTCTATTTTATCTATGTGTATTCTTATAGCACACAAAAATATATATGTAAAAAATATCATCTGCCAAACTTAAGAGATCAGTCTTAAGAAATTAGTCTTCTTAATCATTACAAATAATTTTGTTTTCCCCATGTTAAATCAGCTTCAAACAATTATCTAGAATAAATGATCTGTTAGTTCAACTGTTTAAACACATAAGGATGTTTTCTTGATTAAAAGAAAGAAAGAAAGAAAGAAAGAAGAGAAAGAATCACAATGATCATAGTTGTTTCTGACTCATAGAGACCATATAGGACAGGACAGAACTTTCTCATAGGGTTTTCAAGGCTGTAAATCCTTATAGAAGCAAACAGCCTCATGGTTTTCCTTCAGAGATAGTGGTGGGTTCAAACTGGCAAGCTTTTTGTTAGCAACCAAAATGTTTCAACCACTGTGCAGCCAGAATTCCTTATCTTGAAGATAGGTGTGAACAATTTACCCATCTGCACCCAAAATCATATAGGTAAAGAAGTACTGGTAGTATTTTAGAGAAATGAAAGATATTCACTAATAAAGATCCTTAATAAAGATCGAATGTATGTGAAGAACTTTACTTGATGTTGAGAGAGCAAAAAGTTGTACAAGATATACTACTAGAGGAGTTTATAAAGAACATAAAAGACAGATTAGACAAAGTAGTTACTCAAATTCCCATTAATGTAAAAGAGTCAGATTTCATAATATTGGTAAAAGAGATCATAGTCTTTGTTCAAGCTTTCTATGAAAATTCCTTTTGCCAATTATTTAAGTTGACTGCAAAGACATTTCAAAGATTTGAGCAGAATTTGGGAGATTATAAATATCAAATGGAGAAGATTGAAATGTCAGTTTAAACATTGATAGATTACTGGTCTTTTAAGGCAAATATCATACTTATTATGATTAATTCTGTTGCTGTTGGTCTTATCATTTGTATGACACAATGAGAAGAAAGAGTTGCAAAGAAAATGATAGAAGAAAGTCAAAGAATGACAGGTACTACAGATATGTCAAGAGGAAAGCTGGTTAATACATCCATTGTTGAGTAAATCAAACAAAAGATAGAATAAATCAACAATTACTCAAGGATAAAGCTATAATGACAGCAAGCAACAAGGTTATTAGTAATGTAGAAACAGATGAAGAACTTTCAGAGATTTTATGGAAAACATTAAAATTAAATTAAAGGAAAAGCTAAATTAGTAATGTAAGTCGAAAAAAATAAAAAGACATTAGTAAAACAAGATATCATGCCACAAGACTGTTGATGTTTTGTCTTTTATCAAGGGGAATGAAAAGAAGTTGTAAAAGTTGGAAAACTGAAGACAAAAAATAAGCAATAGTAGGGGAAGATTAATAAGACTTTAGGAGGAAGTGAAAACAGGAACACTGTTAAAGTCAGGGACATAGCTCTCATTCAGCATAGACAAATGACTATAAAAATAATTAGATGAATAAGAGTTTAATGGAAAAGGAGAAGTAGATTCAGTGTGGAATAAATACATAAGGTAAGGAAGTATTGTTGTCATCAGTTTGAGATAAAGTACCAAGTGGTTTCAATACTGTATGCCACAGTGGTAGAAGTTAATGTTGATATTATTATGCTTATAGCACTACTTCAAGAAAATAGATTGTTTTCCCTAATATTTACTATGGTCTCAGAATAAGAATGTAAGACTAGAGAAACATCTAAAGGATTTTATTCCAAATTTCCAGCAACATTGCATTAACTCCAAATTTCCTTAAAAAAGCCAACAATAGCTATATAACTATCCTTATATTAAAAACCAAGTGTCCATCAAGTTAACATTGACTTATGTTGATTTCATGAGATTTAGAATACAGCAGTGCTTCATAAAATTTTCAGTGACTGATTTTTTGGAAGTAGATGACCAGGCCTTACTTGTGATGTATTCAGTGTATCTCAATGTATTCAAACATGCCACCTTGTTACTAGCAAAAGTCCGTTAATTGTCTGTACCATGTAAGGACTTCCTTTATATCTATTTATTTTATCTTAAAAAAGATATTCACATGGCAATGCATAAAAATATGTATATATTAAATAGTTTTATGTGTGATGTCTATGATATTTTTCACTTCACTTCTACAACAGGAATAATAATATTATGGACTCAAATAGGGCACTACATGATTTACCTTAGGAAAAGGGTAAGAGAAAAATAATCAAAAATTGTCTTTTCATAATTTAATTCTTTATGTGTTAAAGCTTTTTACATTGTCTCCACGTATGAAATGTCCCATCCACAGATGCTCAATTCTACCATGCAGATGGAATTTCTCCTGATGTTTTTTTCTAATGTGTGGGAGCTACGTGTTTTGTATGCTTTATCGTTCTCTCTGATATATTTGATAACTGTCATTGGGAATTTTCTCATTGTTATCATCACCACTCTGGACAAGAGTCTTCACACCCCCATGTACTTCTTTCTCAGGAATCTGTCCATCTTAGATGCATGTTACATTTCTGTAACAGTCCCTAATTCATGCGTCAACTCCCTGCTTGACAGCAGTGCCATTTCAAAGGCAGGATGTGTAGCTCAGGTCTTCCTAGTGGTTTTCTTTCTATATGTGGAGCTGCTCTTTCTCACTATCATGGCCCATGACCGCTATGTGGCTATCTGCCAGCCTCTGCACTACTCTGTGATCATGAACCCGTGGGTCTGTGCACAGACGACACTGGCTTCCATCCTCAGTGGTCTGGTCTACTCAGGATTCCACACAGGCTACACCTTCAGACTGCCCTTTTGTGATTCTAATGTTATTCATCAGTTTTTCTGTGACATCCCTTCTCTGTTGAAGCTCTCCTGCTCTGACATCTTTAGCAATGAGATGACACTCCTTGCTTCTGGTGTGGTAATTTGTGGAGGTTGTTTCATCTTCATCATCACATCTTATATTCACATATTTTCTGCTGTGCTGAAATTTCCACGTGGTGCAGACAGAACAAAAGCTTTTTCTACTTGCATCCCTCATATCCTCGTGGTGTCGATCTTCCCCAGCTCAATCTTCTATGTGTATCTAAAGCCATCTACAATCTCTGCAACCATCCAGGATGTGATCCTTTCTGTGTTCTATACCATACTCCCACCACTCCTCAACCCAGTTATCTATAGTCTTAGAAATGAGCAAATAAAATGTGCCATCAAGAAAATAATGAAAAAAATAATAATCTGGTAATTTATAGAAAATTGTGTATGATCTCCCTATGTTATTAGTTGAAATTTATTTTTTTAGCAATAAATTGAGATTAAAGTTTGGAATAATATCGATGTATTTTATGTAAATTTTATACAAGTTCAATAAAATATTTATCAAAATGTTACTTTCTGTGGATTTTGAATGATTTGAATAAGAGATCTGGTTTTATGCATAAGCATTTTCCAGTCTATGTATTTGGCAAGCTCCCATTAAAAAGTTCAGTCTTAAAAAACCTAAAATGTTATCCTTAGCAATATTATGTGTTGAACACTATCCTTTATATTTTCCCATGCTTAAAACAGTTGTAAACTTAGAAAGAATACTGCATTGATTTATTTTGAAATGTCACATTAAATATTATTGAATAAATGAAAATTGTCAGTCAATTATTCATTCATAGAATAAATATGAAAACGTTCGTTTAAGGATCATAAAAATATAACTAATTTATGCTGTGAAAAGAGTGGTGGATTTCTCGGGGAAGTGCTTGTGTTTGAGAGAATCATAACCATTTCACACTGGTTTCCTTACATCATATGGAGTCTAGATAATAAGTTATACTTACAATCAGACCAAAGTTTTGTTAAAAATAAGTTCAAATTTCTCTAATGAATTTTACTTGCAAAAAGTAAAATGGAAATTATTCAAAAACAAAAATAAGTCAAGCAGTTTTAGGATATTTATTTAAAAGTTTTAAACACTACTTTCTAGGTTGATTAAGGGGATTCATGAATTCCGTATCCTTAGTTATTATTACATGCCTATCCAGAGATCTGAAGGAGTCCTGATACACAGTGGTTAACCATTCAGCTGCTAACTGAATGTTGGCAGTTCAAATCCTCTAGCTGCTCCTTGGGAGAAATATGTGAAAATTTGCTTCCATAGTAATTACTGTCTTGGAAATACTGTGGGGTGGTTCTCCTCTGACCTATAGGGTTGCTTTGAATCAAAATTCAACCCAAAGGCAGCCATCTTGGCTTGGTTTGATCCATAGATGCATTAAAGCCAGTGGAAAGTTAAAAATAATATGATATATATAAATCATATATGATATATATAAATCAATTTATATATGATATATGTAAATCAAAATACATACATATATATATATATATATATATATATTTTATAATGACAGATACTTGCAAAACTAATAATAATGTTTGAAAGTATCACCACTATCAGCGTTGTTGTTATTGTTAGGTGCCATTGAGTTCTCTCCAACTCGTGGTGACCCTATGTACAACAGAACAAAGCACTGCCTGATCCTGCACCATTCCCACAATCTAGGCTAATCTTGATATCATCATCATAGCCATTGTATCAATATAACTCATTGAAGGTCTTTTTTTTTTTTGCTGACACTCTAACAAGCATGATATCCTTCTCCAGGAAACATGTCCGAAGTGGGTGAGATGAAGTCTGGCCACTCTGACTTCCAAGGAGCATTCTGGCTGCACTTCATTCAGGACAGATTTGTTCATTCTTGTGACAGTCCATGGTATTTTCAAAATTCTTTGTTCAACCATAATTCAAAGGCACCAACTCTTCTTTCGTCTTCCTTATTTATTATCTAGCTATGACTTGCATATATGGTGAATGAAAATACCATGGCTTGGGTTGGTCTCATCTTAGTCATCAAAGCTTCTTAAAACTCTAAAGAGGTATTTAGCAGCAGATTTGCCCAGTTCAATAAGACTTCTGATTTCTTGATCTCTGCTTATATGAGTGTTGATTGTGAATTCAAGCAAAATGAAATTTCCCACAACTTCAATCTTTTCTCCACTTACCAAGATGCTGCTTATAAGTCCAGTTGTGAAGATTTTCATTGTCTTTATGTTGTGGTGCGATCCATACTGAAGACTGTACTCTTTGATCTTCATTAGTAAGTGCTTCTAGTCATCTTCCCTTTCAGCAAGCAAGGCAGTGTCCTCTGCATATTGTAGGTTGTTAATGAGTCTTCCTCCAATTTTGATGCTATATTCTTCTTCATATAATCAAGATTCTCAGATTATTTTCTTAGTATACAGATTGAATAACAATGGCAAATTGATACAACTCTGACTCACACCCTTCCTGATTTTAAACCACACTATATCTCCTTGTTCTGTTCAGAGGACAGCCTCCTGGTCAGGTTCCTCATGAGCACATTTAACTTTTCTGGAATTTCCATTATTTGCAATGTCATCCCTAGTTTGTTATGATTCACAGAGTCAAATGCCTTTGTGTAACCAATAAAACTCTGGAAAAAAATCTTTCTGATAGTCTTTGCTTTCAGGCAAGATTCATCTGACAACAAAGACATCCCTCTTCCGTGTCTTCTTCTGAATCTAGCTAGAATTTTGAGAAGTTCCCTGTCAATATATTGCTGAAAATGTTTATTTTTTATCATCTTCAGAAAAAAAAAAAAAGAAAACTTTTGTATTATACTAATTATGTTGTTTGATAATTTTCACTTTCTGTTCAATCACCCTTCTATGGAATGGGCACAAATATAGATTTCTTCCAAACAATTGGCCAGTGCCTTCCAAATATCTTGGCATAGAGAAGGAGCTCTGGTAGCCTAGTGCCTAAGGCATTTGACTGTTAATCAGAAGGCTGGCAGTTCAAACCTACCAGCTACTCCTTGGAAGGAAGGTTGAGGAATCTACTTTGTAGTGATACTGCTTCAGAAACCCAGGGAGGTATCACTTTGAGTTGGGTCTGACTCAAAAGCATATAGCAACAAGAACAACAAGGGAAGTAAGTGCCTCCAGTGCTGCATTCATTTTCTGAAACCTCTTAACAGGTATTCAGTAAATTCCTGGAGCCTTATTTCTTGCCAATTCCTTCAATGTAGTTTTGAATTCTTCCTTCAGTACCATTAGTTCTTGATCATATGCTACTTCCTGAAATAGTTGAACATCAACAAATTATTTTTGGTATAGTGATTTTTTATTCCTTCCATTTTCTTTTTATGTTCCCTGGATCATTGAACATTTTTCCCACAGAATCCTTCATTATTGCAACTCGAGGCTTGACTTCAGTTCTTTCAGCTTGAGAAATGCCAACTGTGTTTTTCTTTTTGTTGTTTTCTAACCCCAGATCTTTTCACATTTCATTATAATACTTGTCTTCTCGAGGTGACCTTTGAAATCTTCAGTTCAATTCTTTTATCTCTTCATGTATTCCATTAACTTCAGCAACTCTGTTCCAGAGCAAGTTTCACTGTCCCTTCTGATATCCATCTTTATTTTTTTCTTCCTTTCCTGTCTTTTTTATGACCTTTTGCTTTCTTTATGTATGATGCTCTTGATATCATCCCATAACCCATCTGATTTTGGATCATTGGTTTTTGATGAGTCAAATCTGTTCTTCAGATGACCTCTAAATTCAGGTGGGATATAATCAAGGTCATATTTTTGTTTTTGTTTCAAGTCATTGGTCTTACAAAACTCTATCATTGGATCTTCAACATTATTTCTGTCAGAAATGCCATATTTTGAAACTAATGACGATCCTTTTTTGTTCCCAACTTTCCAATTCCATTCATCAGTAATAATTCATACTTCTTGAATGTTTGGTCAATTTAAGAATATAGAAGTTGGTAACAATCTTCAATTTCTTCATCTTTGACTTTAGTAGGTTAGTGCTTAAATTTAAATACTAGTAGTATTAAGTGGTCTTCCTTGTATGTGTATGGAAACTATCCCATCACTGACAGCATTGTAACAGTAAGTAGTAACCCTGTAATTTAATTGCTGAAAAAAGATTATTTACAGATCACAATACGTACAAAATGTGGTGCAGTGGGCAGGTGGCCTCCACCTTGGACAGACGTAATATAAGGACCTAATAATATTGATATATATATGACATAAAGCTTCTATTAAAAATAAAAAGTCCAATTAGGAAGAAATTAAGGGACCACTCATTAATCAGAACCCAAATACTTAATTCATCTTAGACCTAATCATGTGAGAATAATGAGTTCTTTCATAAATATGGATGTTGTTATTGCTGTCAGGTGCTGTCAATTAGACACTGATTCATAGTGGTCATAAGTACAGAACAAAACACCATGCCAATCTCATAATTCTTGCTTTACCTGAACCCATCTTTGTAGTAACTGTGTCAATCCATCACTTTGAGAGCCTCCCCCTTTTTCACTGACCTTTCACTTTACCAAGTATGATATACTTCTCCAGGGAATGGTACCTTCTGAGAGCACGACCAAAGTAGCTGAGACAAAATCAGGCCATTCTCACTTCCAAGGATCATTCCAGCTGCACTTCTTCCAGGACAGATTAATTTGTTTTTCTGGAAATCCCTGGTATTTTCAGTATTCTTTTCCAATAGCAGAATTAAAATGCATCAATTGTGTGGTATCTTGATAAGCAATTTACATGAGTTACTTAATTTAATCCCAATGACAACCATATGAGACAGAGTCTAATATTCTATTATTATTTCTCAGTTTAGCACTCCAAAGTTCACAGAACATAGGTAATTTCCCCAAGAACACACAGAACAGAAACTGAATATAAGGGAAATTTAAAGCAAGGCACTCTAACTTAAGAAGTAGCTCTTTGGCACACGACTCCAACATTTCTTAATATGTATGATGCAAGTGTTTGGTGTACATGAGATAATTTTAGATCTATGAAGGTATAGCATTCAATAACATTGTGAAACAGGTATCTTCTTTTTTATTTTCTTCCTTTCCTCTATTTCTTGAATGGAAATGTCTCAGTGTGGTAACACTCTGGCTTTGTTGTTGTTGTTAGGTGCTGTTGAGTTAGCTCTGACTCATACCAACCCCATGTACAACAGACTGAAGTACTGCCCAGTCCTGTGTCATCCTCATGATCCTTGCTATGTTGAGTCTATCATTACAGCCACTGTGTCAATCTATCTTGTTAAGAGTTTTCCCATTTTCACTGACCCTCTGCTTTACCAAGCATGATATGCTTATCCAGGGACTTGCCCTTCTTATAGCA